CTTGTTGCATGCTGATCTCATGGTCGAGCCTGTCGTGTTTCAGCTTTCGCACAAGAAGCTTATCGACTGGAATGAATGTTTTATGCTCAACCAGTTTATGTAGCAGGCCACCCTAATTTTTTTAATCTCCATGTCTGCTGAGGTCATCAGTGCTCAGAAAAGGTGATAGTCATTGCTCACGTAATCCAGTCATTTATTCCTCAGTTTGAAGGCCCAACAACGGATGAAGTAGGCAGTCTTGTTGAGAATGTGTTCACTTCCTTCTGGCCAAGTGCCGGTAAGCCCCAAAATATATTGCTCACATGCCTTCTTTAGGCCGGTTCCTTGCGATATCAAAGAACTTAGTACCGTCTCATAGCCATTCTTGCACATTCGTTTAAATGCTTAGGGGATCATTTTCACGGGTTACGGTTCTTGATATTTGAGCAGTTACTGAATTAGACACACCTTGCATTTTATTAGCAAGCGCAATCAATGTCTTGCTGGCCATCGTAAAGTTCCAGAAGCTGTTGCGCCTATAAGCTTTACAAGCACCGTCAGAAATGAGTAATACACTTTGGTTATTTCAGTTTATACAGTTGTGTTTAGCTTTTTTGCTTGTAAAATCGGCTAGGTCTCTGCAGTCAGACATGAATGACAACATGCGGAGAGCTGTGATCGCTTACCAAGGTGAAATATGGCGGACAGTATTTTCTTTGGACATTAGAACATGTGGGATGCTTAGGATTCACGACATCCGTAGGATATGCTGCCGATTCACATTTTTCGTTGAATATTCAACTTAATGGTGTTGCCATTGTCTTGTTACATTTGCTCTTCAGCGCGTAAATTGCTCCTCGGTCCAGTTGTCTGAATGACTACATTATTTTCATGGTATGGCCACACAGTGCCTAAAGGGTCGGTTTCGAACTTCAGAGGTGTCGAGTTAGAATTTTGGCGGAGAGCAATCATTTTGTTAACTACGAATTCCTTTGTCCAATGAATTTGCCACACGTCGCTGCGGGCCGGAATTGTTTAGAAGGTAGAGCGTCACACTCGGAACCGAGGCGTTCCAAATTCGAGCCTCGGTTGAAGTCATCTACCTTTCTTCTCTCTGTTGTTAATAAATGGATAACATTCTATAAGAAGGAAACAGGAGAATACACACTATATTTGCCACATCTAGTATCCTGTTCATCCACGTTTAAAAGTGGCACTTCTGGCTGATGACATGGAAATGGATATCAGCACTCCACCATTGCATTTATGAAAATAAAGGCTTCAGAATGATTCTATCACAAAAGAATAAGCTAGGCGAACATTCCAACGGTTACAGTTTTTCTTTTCTTCTTACTTTTATTTAC